TTTTTTTTTTTTTTTTTTTTTTTCCTTCCTTCAAATTCAGGCAGGGTCATTCCAGAGAGTGTCATCTACAGTTATGGAACAGTTCTTCTCGATCTTTTGAGTGGAAAGCATATCCCGCCTAGTCATGTATGGTGCATCCTTTTGGATCTTTCATTGTTAATTGAGATGAGGTCGAAAGTAAATTTGATTGGAAAAAATGTACTTTCAAAAAAATAAATAAATAATTAATCTGTTCTATTGGAGACTGATTTTATGTGCTACTCCAGGCTTTGGATTTAATAAGAGGCAAAAACATCTTAATGCTGATGGACTCATCTCTGGAAGGGCAATATGGTAATGAAGATGCAACCGCATTGATCGAGCTCGCCTCAAAGTGCCTTCAGTATGAAGCTAGAGATAGGCCTGATATTAAGTTTCTTCTTACTGCAGTTGCACCCCTTCAAAAGCAGACAGAGGTTAAAGAAAAAACAAATATTACTAATACTATAGTGTTAATTATACTCAGTCTTCGTTTACTTAGTTTTTCTGTTATATGTGTGTGCATAATGTATTAAATTACTGCTTCATACAACTCTTTTTTTCCTTTTTTCTTTTTTTTTTGGTTTTTTAGGTTGCCTCACATATACTGATGGACCTAGTGAAAAACCCCGTGGTTTTACCGACAATGCTTTCTCCTTTGGGAAAGGCTTGTGCAAGAATGGATCTTACTGCAGTGCACGACATTTTGCTGAAAACGGGTTACAAAGATGAAGAGGGTGCGGAAAATGAGGTGAGATTATTTAAAGTTTTTAGTGGTAGAAGTTGCAAACCATTTTATATTTCTGGTAAAAAGATGGAACTATCATACGTTTTGTGAATAGAGGTGCTAAAATGGAGTGTGATACCCTTTCTTCTGAAGCATATTCTGTATTGAAAGTATGATTTATACGAACTCTGTTGTATATTTTTTGAAGCTTTCCTTCCAAGAATGGACACAGCAAGTTCAAGACATGCTGAACACGAAAAAATCCGGAGATATTGCTTTCAGGGACAAGGACTTCAAGAGCGCCATCGAATATTATTCCAAAGTACATGATCTGCTATAATAATCTTTATCTTCTTGAGACGTGTTTAAAGCTATGTTTGGTAAAATTAGCTGATCTAATAAGCTATTTAATAGTTTATAAGTGAATTTCGAGCATATAGCTGATAGCTTGTGACTTATAGCTGAAAAGCTAGTTTATATTATATGATAAAAATGTTTGGTAAAATTAGCTGAAAATGTTTGGTAAAATTAGCTGATAAGCTAACTAAAATAAAAATTTCAACGGACTTATTTTGACAAGCTTCCCAAAGAAGCTTATGATATAAGCTTCAGCTTTGTTAAAAAAAGCTCGTCCTACCAAACCAAACTTATTTGTAGACAGAAAGTTTATAAGTTAACTAAATAAGCTATAAGCTAGCTTATGGTGCTTACTAAATACACTCTAAGTCTGATTTTTCTCAAGTTATAGGACAGTCATTACCCAAATTTACAAATGAACACATGTTACACGTCAATATTTCCATCTTCGGAGTGAAACAACTATCAAGAACAGTTGTGTTAAGGAAAAAAATAAAAAAGCCCTGGATTTTATTTTTGGTTATTAACTTGTATCATAATCAAGGGCATAATGGTACACTGAATCATTTCTCCACATGCAGCTTGTATCAATGATGACTGTACCATCTGGGACAGTATCTGTGAGACGGGCCCTCTCCTACTTGATGATGGGCCAGCCTGAACTAGCCCTTAGAGACGCCATGCAGGCCCAAGTTTGCTTGCCCGAGTGGCCCACGGCCTTCTACTTACAGGCTCTTGCCCTATCTAAGCTGGGGATGGAGACTGATGCTCAGGACATGCTGAACGATGGAGCCTCCTTCGAGGCTAAGAAGCTAAACAGCTGGCGAAACTAAAAAAATTACTCCAAAATCCCAGTTTGTTTTTGTTAATCATCGGAATATAACAATGTTGTAAGATTGGCAGCGTTTGGATGATCGAATTTTCTAAAAGTGCTGATTAAACTTGGCTGTGATTCTGAAAGTTCACAGATAAAATGCTAATTGCTATGTATAAATAAATTTTAACTACGCAGGTTTTTGAGTGGGCTTGTTTTAAAATGCAAATGTGGATCAAGATTCTGTTCTTGTTGTGTGAGAGCTGTGTGTGTGCTCGCGTTGAGACTCGAGTCCTTATCGAGAAACTGGCCATAGATTGTTTTCGGATTTAGAGATGTTAAACGTGCTGGTACTAGCTGGTTTGAACTAGTTGAATAGCTTGAATATAATGATATTTTACTGATCTATGCAAAGTAATTTAACATAGTTGTGAAGTATTGGTATACTGTTTGGAAGTTTCTATGGGAAAGAAAAAGCAATTTAATTTTATTATGTGTGTAGGTTTCCATGGAGAAATTGATTGAAAAACACTGAATAAGCACATAGATAGTAACTTTATATGAACATCTATGCTGTGAAAAGATAAGAAATCTAAACATATATAAAAATTACTCAAGAACATCATAAATTACCACATCCTACCAGAAATTAGTGACACTTAAAAAACATAAAGTTACATACTTCTCCAACTTTTATAGCATGAGTTACAATTATGTTGGTAAACATAGCTTGGTTGTGAAATGGACTTCATCAGACTCTTTCAACTCAGACGGTCTTCGTGCCTTCAAGAACCCAACGTCGGGAGGAGTCTCGGCATTGAGCCTCCAATGCTTAAATCAATATCACTCCCAACTGAATTCTCAAGAGTATAGTCAATGTAGAGAGTGTCTTAATGAGATACCTTAGCTCATTTTGTTAGGTGGTGTATCTTAGAGCACCCACAATGTCTTGGGTATTTTATAAAAATGATACATGCCATGTAAAAAATAGACTTAGTCTATCAAAAAATGTATCCCAATGCAATTAAATTTAGACATAGTCTAGCTTATGTGGCAATAAAAAAAATAGACCAAGCCCACCCTTGGGTCTATTTTGGACCCAAGCACAAACCTGACTAGCCATCAATCATTCACAATTTGCCCTTTTTTTTAATAGTCTAGACCTATCATTTTGTTTTTGCATTGGAAAGTTTTTGGGTTTTTTCACTTGAGTTTGTCCATGTCATTTAAAACCCAAGTCCAATTATATGCTACATACACAAAAAAAGACCCAAAACATTGTTGATGCTCTTAATGTCCAAGTTGGACTTGACCAATTTCATCATGCCACATGTCCTAGTTCATGTGTAAGTTTATTCTTCAATATATTTCTTTTTATCCATTAAAACCGTATAGTATAATACCACATAACATAGCTGATAAAGTAAATAATAGCTACAAGTTAATTGATAATTTATAAATGAATATTAAGCTAGTTGGTAATTTACAAAATGAATTTCAAGCTTATAGCTACTGGATGAAAAGCTAGCCAATATAATAAAAAATATTAGATAATAGCTCACAAGTTAATTAGGGGGCGATTGTTTATAGTTTCAACAGTAAAAAAACCAATAAAAACTCAAATTTAACTCAACTTTAACCCAACCCCACTATCTCCCATATTATCAATATAATTAAATAATATCAATCAATCATTTTTATACATCTCATCAACTTTAATTCACTATTCATCCACTCACATAATTTTAACTAACCATCACTTTCAATCATTTTTCTCCTACTTTACATCAAATGAACTTTAACTATTTTATTTAAATATTATTTTAATACATCCACTAACAACCAATCACACTATTTTTTTCAAGTTAACTATAGTTGAAAAAACAAACCAAATAAAAACTAGTTGAATCCATAAACAATCACACTCTTAATAGTTTATAAATGAATTTCAAGTTATAGCTGCTTGATGAAGAGCTAATTAATATAATAAAAATATGTAATAAAATTAACTGATAGTAAATCGTGTGGTTATTTAAAAAGCTACTCAATATAATTTATGAGATAGACTCGACTTTTTTTAAAATAAAAATAAAAAAATCCGTCTTACCAAACCAAACTTATTTGCATACAGAAATTTTATAAACTAAGTAATTAAGTTATCAAACTAAACTTATTTACATACAAAAAGTTTATAAGCTACTAAATAAGCTATAAACTAGACTACGGTGTTTACCAAACACAATCCTAAACTACATATTCAAATTGTGATTTGTGAAATTGAGAGTGATTATTATATAGTTGCGGGGCTATTCATGAAAATGAAAACAGGGACTCACTCGGTATTTGAGCTATCCACGGGGACCATTTTCGAATGTACCCATAAAGCAAGAGGGCTTTCTTGAAAGATCCATAAAATCCCATTTCTACATTTCTCCATTGCCCCCACCGGCGACGAGCTGACGTCAGAGATGGCGGTGAGGCTGAGAGCGCTGGCGGCGGTTCCGACCCTCGTGCGAGTGCTGAAGAAGGAGGCTCCGCCGCGTCACCACACGGCGCTGCCGTCTCTGAGGAGAGCCTTCTCTATCTACGATCAGATCAATCTCATCGATAATGTCCCCAAGGACCAGCTCCGTTTCCAAGAGTACTTACCGCTCCTTATTTTTCTCCGGCCATTTTTTTAGCACAGTATCTTGTTAATTGGAGTTGATTATCTATAGTTTTCCAAGTATTTTTTTTTTTTTTTAATGTTTAAGCTGAATAGTGTAGATTGTAAACTTATAATTCGTTCTTCTCTTTTTTTTTTTCCCTGGTAATGATTTGATTTTATGGAGCATTGTGAGCAGTTTTTTAACTTATTTTTTTGAGTGAATTTAGTCAAGTTACTTCTTAATTTTATGCAATTACCATGATTAATGGATATTGATGATCCTGTGCTTTTAATTAAACACATACGCAGGATGAATTTGAATAATGTTTTCCCTGTAACGAGTATTGTGTGAGAATTTATCATTCTCCTTTCTCTTTGTTGGATTTTAGATTGGCTTTGATCTACATTAGATGAGCATCTTTTCAGTTAACTTGTGAAATAGATATTCTTTTATATAGTTCGTTGGAATATCACTTGTGAGTCGTTTGATTTGATAGGGTAAATGAGCATAGTTTCTAAGTCTAGTGGGCTACTCCTCCCATCATCAATTGGTTTGTTTTATTGGAGAAAACAATTGTCGTCCTATATATATGTTTTGTCTAATATGAACTAAGAACCCATGTGCCTGAATAGCTTTTTCATTTAGGCAGGTTTTGCTTGATGGGCTATTGAACTCAGACATTGATGTGCGTCCAATATGCTTGCAGTCACAGGCCAAACAAGTATCTATGTCTGTTTTTTAGAGTGTTTTTCTACGTATTGAACTTGTGTTGTGTATGTTGAGGTGTTTATATTAAGAGGAATATTACTGAACATGCTTTTAATTGTTTCCAGAAGTGACTAGTTGCATCTATTCTTCTTGGTTTATAACAGGTTTGACGACAGAGGGTTCAAGGTAAATGGAGTCAAGTATGAAGGCAGCTTACTTTGTGTAGGAAATTTGATAATGTCTTGGGCTCCCAAGAAGTTCGCGGATATCACTGATGAAAGGTAAATCAGTGTTAGAACTTATTTCTTGATTTTGAAGAAGGAAAAAGCTAGATGATGTCTATTTTCTGCTTTGCATTGTATATTTGAAACTTATAAATACATGGAAGTTTTAATGGTTTGAAGGGGTAAAAAATCGGGTTTCAAACTTTGACCCTTTTTTGTTTAATGCTTTCTAGTAGTGAAGTAAAGAGCCTAATTGTGATATAGGAAGTCATTCCTCCGAGAAATTATTAACATCATAGGTGAATATTTCATGTTTGAATTCGATGTAGAAGTAGTAACTGAGGTCCGTTGCTGTTGCATTAATCAAAGAGCCTTTTCGATGTTTGTTTGTGGCAAGTTCCTTGAAGCTGCCCGTTTCTATTGAAATTTGTCTTTTGTGTGTTACTTTCAGTTACGCCTTCTGATGTGGTTTCTCTATCATGATTTTTGCAGCTTATCTATTTTCAAGGCTCTACGCCCAATACCAGGTGGGAACTCTCCCTCTCTCTCTCTCTCTCTCTCTCTCTCTCTCTCTCTCTCTCTATGTGTGTGTGTGGAATGAATCAAATAAGAACTAATTGCTGATGTAGGAACTAGAATCCCTGCTAAAATACATTACATGTACTTAAAATGACATATATACTGTTTCAATATATCATGCTAAAATAAATCATGTACTACTATTATATATTTGGTGATCACACCACTAGAAGTAATATTGCTCTGGCCTGTGCACGTACACGATATGCATGAAAATAAATAAGTTGTACATATAAAATAGATTTAATGTGCAATCCATAATAAATAAATTTATTATAATGGTTATTTCAGTCAAATTAACTTGATAAAAAAAATCAATAATAGCGTTAAGACTGTTTGAAATGTGCACACACCATAGCAAAAATAATGTAAAATATAAATATATGTAACGGGAAAGAATTACTAAAGGTAGTAGGATATTTTGAGTGGTAAAATGTATTATTACTATTTGTAAATTTGCGCCAATTAATTTTGACATAGATACTTTTATTTTAATGTACTTTATGAAGGTTCCTAGTTCATACATATACATTAAGCATGGTTTCTACAAGATCCAGACTTTGTGTCTGTGTGTGTGTATCTATCTTATATATATGCCTGCAGGAGGAACTCTTATATTAGAGTTGGGTAGCTGGGATTTAAGATGATATGGGTATAAGAGAAGGATAATTATTTGACATAAATTAGTGTAATATCAATGTGTACACTAATAAAAAACTAGCGGTTCTGTTGTTGTGATATTTAGATGTGAAACCTTGGGTATGACAGGCATTTAATTTAGTACTATCGAGTGTATACGTCTATATCAACTACTTTGAAATGCTCAGGACAACTTTTAGCGAGTGAGTGTGTTCATGTTATTGTTTGATTCGAAATTTCCATACTATTTTTCAAAAAGGTGCAACAGTTTGACTATTTTTAATATTTTTCACTATTTTATGTTTCAACTGCTAAATAAGCCTTCTTTTAATTCAGAGATTTTGATTCTCGGATGTGGAAAGTATGTACAGCCCGTAAAACCCGAACTCCGTAACTTCATTCGCTCCACAGGCATGAAATTCGAAGCAGTCGATTCAGTAAGTTCACTCACTCTCTCTCTCTCTCTCTCTCTCTCTCTCTCTCTCTCTATCTCTCTCCCCTCCCAAATTTTCCATACTATTTACATATTTTCACATTTTGTTAGCTGTTTGTATTGAATGTTATTTCTTCTCGATCAAGAAAACACTCTGATGTTGCATTTTGTTAATTTTTTTTTTTCGGTTATCTCAGCGAAATGCAGCCTCGACTTATAACCTGTTGAATGAAGAAGGGAGGATAGTGGCAGCTGCTCTCATTCCATATGGAGTTGAGTCTTGAACATTGAATCCTGTGCATGTTTTGTTCATTCCATATAGATGCTTTTTCTTTACTTTGCAATGTTGTAGCTTTTTATTGAAGCTTTGTGTACATTTTGCTGGCTTTAAAATCACTGGTCTTCTCACAAGGGCGGCTTGCAGAGGTCGAGCTTGCAGCTGGAATCCTTGATAGTGTTTTTGGATATTATCATATCAGAAAAAAAAAGGGGATACTGTGTTAAATTAAGATGTGTACTCAAGCTCTGAGCTTCGACTCCACAAGTTTAGGCCTCCAGGCTCTAACAAAGCCTCTCGAATAGAAAAGTCCGTGAAAGATTCAACCCTACACAAAACTACAGTGCAGACATTGAGCTTTTTACAGTTCATCAACGGTGAAAAAGTTGTGTGTAGGTAGAAGTTCATTTTGATGGGGATGCTCATTTGTCTCTGATAGATGAAAATTGTTTCTTGTTTTTTATGTTAGGTTCACAGTTCTAAGGCTTGCATATTTCATTTATGTTGGGAAATGCTACGGCCTTGTTATGGAACCATTCCGTCGGGATTCGCAGCCGTCAGATCATCATGTAATCGTCGATGATAGTTGATCTAACGGTTACAAACTCCAACAGAATGATTCCGTAACGGGATCGTAGCATCTCCTTTTATTATTATAAAGGCCACAAATCCTCTTCTTTTTCCTGAAAAGATATTGGTTATGATTTTGGCTTATAACTATAAAGTAGAAAGTTATGGAACATTGACGGCACCATAAATACACAAAAATCAGAGATTGTTGAAAAAAGGGACACAACCTTTGAAACAGTAATGCGAGTAACATAATTTTTTTACAAGGTTTCTATTAGAGAATCAACTAATTGGGAAAGATAGAAGAATACGGCAAGTGTTAAAAAGGGAAAGATCACCTCCCTTTTCTTCACCATCCAATATACATTTTATACTAAACAATTAAAAGCTATTTTGTCATATATTTTCCATAAAATACTTTAAAAAAAACAATTAAACAAAAACATTAATTTTATATGCATTTTTGTAAAACAAAAAAAGGGTATGATGAATCGATTCTCCAACAGTTACGTCGCCTCACACAGCAATTTGTGCATTTTCTAATTTGTGTCATGGTCGACATTTTTTTGACATTTGTAGAGAATTAGGTTAGTGGATAGTTATCGACAATATTATAGTCGGTCGCCTACTCATGTGTAGTGCTGTTAAATCCTGTTTCGGATCGGTGAGGCTCGAGTTCGGTTCAGCTCATTTGATAAACGAGTCGAGTTCGAGTTCATTTAAAGCTCGTTTGGTTAATGAGTCGAGCTTGACTCGGCTTGATGAAGCTCAAAAAAATAATTTTTATACAAGTTATAATAGTTTGACTCGTAAAATCTCGAGATCGACTCGTTAAAACTCGAACTCGGCTCGTTATTAGTGATAAACGAGTCGAGCTTGATTTGAAGCTCGGCTAGTCATGAGCTCGAGCTGAAGCACTCTAAGCTCGAGCTCAGTTTGACTCGTTTATATAGGCCTACTCGTGGGGCTCGACCCGGGTTTGCTAATCGAAAAAAATGTATAAGGGCATTTTAGTCATTCACACCAAATTTGCATGACATTAATGTTATTTTGTTTCCCAATAATAATTTTTAATTATATCCTTTTTTGTTTGTTGTATTGAAAAGGTCATTTTCAAGACCAATTTCTTCGGACGTTTTCATCTCTGTTAAAAAACTCGAGTGTTGTTAACACCGCTTCACTTTCTTCTTATTCTATTTTTCATTTATATTTATTTCCTTATATTTTCATCATCTTCTTCTTCTTCTTCTTCTTCCTCATCTCTCAGGCGACGTCGATCCTTGTTTCCCGCCATTGCTTTCTCCCAGTAGAAACCCTAATTTCCATCTCCTCGCTCAAGGTGAAGTATAATTCGACCTAATTAGTGATGGAATGAAATTCTTTGATTTACGCGTTAATCGCCATTTGGATTTTATTCCTTACTATCCGCCGATTGAATGCGTAGCATTTAATTATCGTTTTTTTTTTTTAATGCTTTGATTTGATTGGTGGATCTCAGTAGGGCAAGGGGCTGTTCAAGATATTCCGGGAAAATCGATTTTTTTTTTTGTTTTTTGTTTTTTCAGGTCGGAATTTATGTCCCACAATCAATCAAGGGGGGAGAGGAACGAGTCCGCACAGTTCAGGAAAACCGGTCGATCAGTGAGCTCCAATCAGCACCGTCAGTTCTCAGGCGGCGTCGCCAGTAAGCGCGGTGGTGGCTCCTCCGCCCCTCCCAACCCTCCCAACCGCAGGTTCGCTTCATGTGCTGATATACTTTTAAGCTATGGTGGAATGTGTGAGTTGGCTGTTTTATGCATTTATGTGTTGTTTGATTGACTGGGTGATGGAGGTGGCGAGCAAGGTTGATGATAATTCTTTTGTGGGGGACCTAGGGTTTCATTTATGTCTTTCATCGTATGTTTAGATAGTGGATGGATTTGCGTTATTTATCCTTTTTTTTGGAATGCATGCAGTTTTAAGAAGTATAATAGCAATGCTCCAGTAGGGCAGCTGAACGAAAGGAGCCCTCATGTGGACTTTAGCAATTCACCTGCAGCCCGTGCTGCGGAGAATGGTGCGTATCAACAGCAGCCAACTCAGAGTACGTGAATTTGTTTTCTTTTTCTGTTTCCGGTTAATATCATCCCTTCCCACCTGTGGTCAAGGGTTTGAAGTGGGAGGTACTTTGCTGTCTTAGATGATTTTGCCCAATTAGGCCATTTTTATCGATAAAGGTGAAATTTTCAGAAACATGTGGGCAGAGTAATGCTATATTAAGTTTCTATTTTTTCGTTTTATCATTAAGTTTTCTCAATTAGAGTTTTTATGTGCCTTGTTCTAGGAGTATCTGATGCACCAGTAATCAGTAACCCTCCTGATGTCAGGCCAACCTATGCCCCTGCTCAAAAAATCACCCGAGCTGTTCCTGGAGCTCCTTCGTCTAATGTTTCATCTGCAGCTCCATCATCTAATGTTTCTGGTACTACCTCTGAGCCCAATGCTCCAAAAACACCTGAGAAAGGTATTGTATTTGCGAAGATATTAGAACTGTGAAAAAAAATTTAACTTGTAATTAAGGAATTATTGTTAAAATGATGAAGGTGTCATCTTTTTCATAACTGATGCTTATTATTTCGATTGCTTCCTTAGCTCCAGGAGATGCATCCAAATCATTTCCGCTGCAGTTTGGGTCCATCAGTCCTGGCTTTATGAACGGAATGCAGGTGAGTGACATCATGAAGTTTGAAGTATTGTTGTATCTCTTGTATTGTCTCTGTTGTCCTTGAACAAATTAGGATAAAAAGGTATTTTTTTTGGTAGATACCTGCTCGAACAAGCTCAGCACCACCAAATTTGGATGAGCAGAGAAAAGCCCAGGTTTGCGGTTCTCTTCTATGCAGTTGCTAACTTGACATTTGAAGTACTAAAGCATATATTATATGTTGGTTCTGTATAATAGTATACGATCATGTTGACATTTTGACTGAATAGGAAAGGAAATAATAAGTAATGTATCAAGGTAACTGATTTTTTTTTTTTTATTTTTATTTTTTGTCAGTATGTTTTTGTGTGTGTCATTTCGTTAGGATGATGATGTGCGATGCATTAATCCGAATGGATATCGGTTCCTTTATTCGTTGTTGCCTTTGGGCAGGATATCTGACATTCATATATGTACCTTTTTGACTGAGGAAAAGTAATGTTCTTATATCATGTGACAGGCTCGCCATGAGTCTTTACGAACTACTCCTGCAGCTCCAGTTCCATCAGTCCCCAATCAGCATTCGAAAAAGATTGATCCATCGAATACTGGTGAAAGCCAGCAAGTTCCGAAATCCAAGAGGAATGCCCAAGTTTTAGCTCCACCACCTGTTGCCACTCAAACTCAGAAGCCTTCTTTGCATCCGAATTCGACCGGCATGCCCATGCAACTGCCGTTTCACCAGCCACAAGTTCCCGTGCCACAAATCCAGTCTCAAGCCATACCGGGAACATCATTGCCAGTGCCAATGCCAATGACCTTACCTATTGGTAGCCCACCAGTACAGCATTCGATGTTTGTTCCAGGTCTCCAGCCACACCCTATGCAATCCCAGGGAATGATGCATCAGGGCCAAAGCTTCAGCTTTTCACCACAAATGGGTCCTCAGCTACCTCCTCAGTTGGGCAGTATTGGAATGAATATGCCCCCTCAGTTCCCTCAGCAGTCTCCTGTAAAATATAGTGGTTTGCGGAAGACGGTGAAAATTACTCATCCGGAAACTCACGAGGAATTGAAGCTTGACAGTTTACCCAACCCAAGGTTACATCCGAATGTGCAGTCTCAGTCACAGGCTATTTCCTCATTTCCTCCTAATATGCCAATGAACTTCTATCCCCCGAATTCCTATAGTGCATCTTCCGTCTTTTTCCCAGCCACGAGCTCTAACACTCAGGTTCCTCCCGTTTCACAGTCGCCAAGGCTCTATAACCAGGTTTTCTGACTGCTTTCTGTAAACTTAGTATTGTTCATAGTTGTATTATTTTGATAGACAGAAAAATTTAGCTTTGCGCTTTGTTTTGTGCAGGTTACCGTGAAACCACCCATTGGCTCCCATGGGGATAAGGAGCCACTGCAATTGACTAGTTCAGTTTCTGTTGGGAAGGCAGAATCTTCAAAATCCTCAGGGTTACACGTTGAGGATCTTCATAAGGAAGCTAACACTTCGTCATCGAGCTGTTCACAACAAGCAAAACCTGGTTACGGAGCAACACCTGCTTCGGCTGTCTCAACAGGTCCTGTCCTTACAGAGAGAAATGGGGCCCTTGTTTCAGCTTCTGTACCCGTGGATGGGTCTGCATCAGCTTCAACAAGCTCCTCTATGGATGTAAGAGTTGGAGTGGTTGCGCTTGAATCTGTCAAAGATATACATAAAATAATAGGTGGTCCTGGCCAGGAGGATCAGGTAATTCATGGATTTTCTTTTAGGCCTAGTTGGACACTTTGAGCATAGCTTCCATGAATATGAACATGATCTTTAATTATATTTTCAGGTGGGCAGTCTGTCGACCTCTCGATCAAGTTTTCCTTCTCAACTTCCCGAGGCTGAGGCAAAATCTGCTTCATCAGGATCTAGTTTGGTATCTGACGCTAAAGAATCAAAGCCTGAGACAGTAGGTGGAAATAAAGAAAGGGAACCCACATTTGAAGACTCGAAGCCGCATCACCATAGCCTTGAAACAACTGTGAAGTCACTTACTTTGGAATCTCCAAAAAAAACAGGTAAAGTAGAGGAGACCTCTGATCGGGAGGTCAAAACCCCCACTGCTAATGTTTTGGAACATTCACAAGAAAAACGAGGAGATGATGCTAGTGTGCATGTTAACCCTGCGGTGCTTGCTCACTCATCAGTTGGTCCAAATACTGAGAGTTCTGTTTCAGCTACTGGCTTACCCGTGCGGGATGAGAAGATTGATAATTCAGATGTGTCGTTAAGTTTACCTCATAAGACGAATGATGCAGGAGAAATATCTGCTGAAAAGTATTCTGAACAGAAGCCTGCACCTGTATCAGTTCCATCCCTTTCTGAGGATGCTTTAAAATCTGAAAATGAAGATAATGACAGTATCAGTGGTGAATTGGTCTCCCCTTCCCCATCCATTTCCAAGGATAAAGTTGTGTCAGATGTCAATGTAGCAAAAAGTGCTGTTCCCAGAGGTAAGAAGAAAAAGAAAGATTTATATAAAAAAGCAGAGGCTGCCGGTCCAAGTTCTGATCTGTATATGGCATACAAGGGTCCCGAGGAAAAAAAAGAAAGTATAAATCTGGCAGAGGGCTCAGAAAACTCTTCAAGCGTTGGTGAGAAGCAGAAAAATACTGATGTAATCCCAGAGAACACTGTGCCGCCACATCAACACCCTGCTCAGAGTAAAGTGGAGCCAGATGATTGGGAAGATGCTGCTGAAATCTCTACTCAGTTGGAAACATCAAAGAATGAAAACCAGGGGGATGATAGAGATGACAATGAATTTTCTAAAAAAAAGTACTCACGGGATTTCCTTCTGAAATTTATCGAGCTATGCACTGATCTCCCGGATGATTTTCAGATTACATCCAACAGAGACGCACTAAGGGTTTCTGGTCTTAACGTGCCGCGCGAACCAACCCCTAGCCCAGGACGTAATTCTGAAAGGCATGGTGGAGGATCTAGAGTAGATCGCCGGGCGAGTGGCTTAGGAGATGAGGACAAATGGAGTAAATATCCTGGTCCAATAATGCTAGGGGCGCAGGGAGATATGTGGATGAATCCTGGGTATATAAATAACGTAATCGGTCTTCGACCTGGACAAGGAGGTAATTATGGTGTTCTACGAAATCCTCGGGCTCAGGCAGCTGTCCAGTATGCCGGGGGCATCCTAGGTGGGCCGATGCAGTCCTTTGGTCCTCAGGGTGGTTTGCAAAGAAATAATTCAGATTCTGATAGGTGGCAGCGTGGAACTGGATTTCATAAGGGTTTGATGCCTTCTCCTCATGCTCCAATGCAGGTGATGCACAAAGCTGAGAAGAAGTATGAGGTGGGTAAGTCTACTGACGAGGAAGAAGCAAAACAGAGGCAGTTGAAGGGCATCTTGAACAAACTTACCCCTCAAAATTTCGAAAAACTGTTCGAGCAGGTGAAACAAGTGAACATCGACAATGTTATTACACTGTCTGGGGTTATTTCACAGATTTTTGATAAAGCCCTGATGGAGCCCACCTTCTGCGAGATGTACGCCAACTTCTGCTTTCACCTAGCCGCAGATTTACCAGAGCTGACTGTGGAGGGTGAAAAAATTACTTTCAAAAGATTACTCCTGAACAAATGCCAGGAGGAGTTTGAAAGGGGAGAAAGAGAGGAACTAGAGGCAAATAAAGCTGAGGAAGAAGGTGAAGTCAAACAGACACCAGAAGAAAGAGAGGAGAAGAGACTCAAAGCAAGAAGACGCATGCTAGGCAATATTAGGCTCATTGGAGAGCTGTATAAGAAGCGAATGTTGACCGAGAGAATAATGCACGAGTGCATAAATAAGCTGTTGGGCCAGTACGATAATCCCGATGAGGAAAATATTGAAGCCCTGTGTAAATTGATGAGCACGATAGGTGAGATGATTGATCATTTCAAAGCAAAGGTGCACATGGATGCATATTTTGACATCATGGCAAAGTTATCCAATGACATGAAACTCTCTTCCCGAGTGAGATTCATGCTGAAGGATGCTATTGACCTTAGGAAGAATAAGTGGCAGCAAAGGAGGAAAATTGAAGGCCCGAAAAAGATTGAAGAGGTGCACAGGGATGCTGCTCAAGAGCGTCACGCACAAACTACTAGGCTTTCCCGCGTTCCAAGCATGGGTAATCCTGTTAGACGGGGCCCCCCGTCTATGGAATTTGCTCCAAGATCTCCTATGTTACCTTCACCAGGTTCGCAGGTGGGTAGTTTCCGTGTTGTACCCTCTCAGCTACGTGGTGGTTATGGGTCTCAGGATGCTAGGATGGATGAAAGGCATTTATCCGATAACGCAAGGACCATGGCTGCTCCTCTACCCCAAAGACCCCTTGGTGATGATTCCATTACTCTTGGGCCTCAAGGTGGTCTTGCCAGGGGAATGGCTTTCAGAGGGCAGCCTAATATTCCTTCGGCTGAGATGATGTCAAGTTCAGGTGATGCTCGAAGGTTGGGTCCTGGCCAGAATGGCTTCAATTCCATGCCACAGAGATCGGCTTATGGCCAAAGGGAGGATGTTGTACCCGCTGCTCAAAGTTACAACCTTTCTCATCCTCAGGAGCGGGATATTGCCCATGAGAATCGTGAGATTAGGAATTCTGATCGGAACCTTGATAGATCTCTGCCTACTTCTCCACGTGCTCATGGTTGGCAATCGGGTAGTACACAAGTTTTGTCTTCGGATAAGGTGTGGCCGGAAGAGCATTTGCAAGATAAGTCCATGGCTACTATTAAAGAATACTACAGGTAATGTTTTGAACCTGTTTTTATTTTATGTTGTAGAACTCTCGGACCGGCCTCGTGTTTCAGAAATTTTACAAGATAGGAATATGGTGGGTCCTGAGTGTGACTTTTTGATATCTATATGAGTTTATAATCCCGCTCGCATCTGAATCTTATTCACAAAACCAGAGGATGCCCTGAAATATTTTGGTAAACGATGTTATATGCTCCAGAATGATGCCTATATTTTAAGTGCATTATGTTAAATTTTGTTGTGAAGTGAATGCTCAAATATTTGTGGTAGTTGGTGGAAGCTAAACATACGTAATTGAATGGACTTCTGAGAAAGTTGCTAAGATTTGGTAGACGAAACCTGTTTTGGGGAAATAAACATCAGTATAACCGAGCAAAGTGAACAACTTGCTGCACTGATGATTTATTTCGCCAATTTGTTATTTCTTTTCCGTCATCAATGTACTTTTTGTTGCTAATAATGTGAATTTCATTTTTTATATATTTCTGGAAGTTGCTTGAGTGTGTGTGACCTTGGGCATGCATGTATATGTTTGTATGAAATGCTTCTCTGGGATCCGTTCATTCCTGATGTTTTTTAGTTTGACAATATCTATTTTGGTTGAGATTGACATTGAAAATTTATCCATTGCCTTCCAGTGCAAGAGATGAGAAAGAGGTTGCTTTGTGCATAAATGATTTGAATACCCCCAGCTTTCATCCATCAATGATCTCCATCTGGGTTACTGATTCTTTTGAGAGGAAGGACATGGAAAGGGATTTGTTGACAAGGCTTCTGATCAACCTTACGAAACCTCAAGATGGGATGATAAGTACAGATCAACTCGTCAAAGGGTATGAATAGAGTAATTTCTTAATCACAGGAGTAATTATTAATTACAAATATTATTCTTGAAGTTTATAGCTTAATTGTAATAGTCTTACCTAAATATGAACCAACCTTTTGATACATGTTCTTCAATTTTCTAAATCGGGCGGGGTTTGGAAAAATAAATCCCAACCTGAAGAGAGCACTTCTTTATTTCTCAAAATAATCAAACTTCTTCCTTCTAAGGCTAAACTTCAAGTTCATGAGTTCATGTAATCTGGCCGAGTTATGTTATGTTTCTTTTCTTTTGGGTTTGTAAAGGTTTGAATCTGTTCTCGACGTGTTGGAGGATGCCGTTAAGGATGCCCCTAAAGCAGCAGAGTTCCTCGGCCGTATTTTCGCCAAAGTAATTTTGGAGAACATAATTCCACTTTCTAAAATCGGGCAATTGATATATGAAGGTGGAGAAGAGCAAGGGCGGCTCGTGAAAACTGGGCTTGCAGCTGAAGTCCTCGGAAGTATTTTGGACATTATCAAACTAGAAAAAGGAGACTCAGTATTAAACGAGATGCGCTCGAGCTCTAAGCTGCAGCTTGACAAGTTCAGGCCTCCAGGCTCTAACAAAACCTTGAGAATAGACAAGTTTGTTTAGGGGTTCACACAGAATGAATGATGCTCATTGTTACTGTTAGATGGAAAATTATTTCTTGTTTTCTTTTTTAGGTTTCACAGTTCTGAGGCTGCGGATTTTATATATTTATTTATCGCGGGCCGATGGGGATTTTTATATCGGGCACAAATCTTTGTGTTTTTATCCTATTATTTTTGTTGAGATATTAATAGGTAGAAACTCAGGACATGTTGAAATGAGCATCAAGTTACTTATGGACCTAACTCTTTTTCCCTTTGTATGATCAAACTGCTTCATTAATGGTGTGTTGTTATTCATAGGTTTCCTTGCATCATCACATTCTAAACCAAACAAAATCACCGGAGCATTGGAAAAAAATTGACATTATTAAACCAAAATAGAAACAATATATATCTCCCTATATATTAATTCAAAACAAAACGTGTAACGTGTTGAGCCTAAGTGGCAGATTCTCATGCTTCGGATGCTGACATGACGAAAATCTATGCTTCGTGATGTTTTTATATTATTTTTGTTCTGGAGTTAGGTCTGGTATTAGACAAATAATTTTTATCATATATGTCTTAACTCAACACTCGTGTTGTACACGGTTATTATACTAGCATATACATATGTATCTGGAAAATCATGTTTATATTCTAATCAAACATCTCCAGCAAAATTAGTTTCTTTTGAGCACAGAATTGCCTTCTTGCTCTATTGGTGGGCTACACCAAGTTCAAATATTAAACTTTTTAGAACAATGGGCCCTAACATATGGGCTATCACTGTATTTAGCCCGTGCAACAATGGACCTCAAAGCCCAAAATAAGTTATTTCGGTCCATTGATCTTAATAACCACCCACATGTGATGCCACACATATCAAAGCAACTAGCTAGCAACAATGGCGGTTTGCATATGCTCAGCTCAGCTCGCACCTCCGTCATCTTCTCTGTCCTCAGAGCTCGTTCCCCTTAGAAGAGGAGACGGACTTAAGCCTCTTTCATGGTCTTCTTCCTTTCCCAGCCTTAAGCTCTCTGTAAATAACCCTTCGACTGTTAAGCGGAGAAAGGTATTCGTCTGTTTCTGTTCCTTTTCCTTTTTCGCTACCTCCTAATTATGTTGGGTTTGTAGAATTGTGGCTGTTTGATTGTTGAATTGAGTTTTATTTAGAGGTTAGAGCGGCGAATTTGTGTTGAATCTTGAGAATTTTGACGAATTGTTCGTTCGTGGGGTTTGAAGAATTTTCTGCATTAGGGTTTTAGTAGTGTGGTTATTTGGAATGAAAATTTAAAAAATAAAAAAAAATAAAAAAAAAATAAAAACAGATTTTGAGCATTATTTTGGGGTAGATTAAAAAGTCCACATTATATGCCTTTTGATTTCTTGTTCGTCATTGTTATGAAGTAATACTGTAAAATGTATCAACAATTCAAGCTCACCACATACCCTATCCCTGTCAAAATATTTGTTTCCCAAATTTTGCACTCACACAAATTGGCCTTGTTCGCGATAGCAATTTTAGTTTCAAGATTCTAGCATTTCGTCTTTTGGTCCTTTAATTTAATATTGTGCTGCAATTTACCGAAATTGAAACAAATTCCCAAATTTATAATTTTATTAGCAATCTGAGTGCTGTAATTTAAAATTTTGTTGTAATTTCAGTCTTGTTATTTTGCTACAATTTCGGTCATCATAGCAATTTTAGCCTCAAAGTTCGAAGTTTTCGCCTTTTGGTCCTTAATATTTTGCTTCAATTTTCAATCATTTGACTAAAATTGCTATGACGTTCAAGACTAAAAATGCATATTCACATTTTTTTTTAAAAAAAAAAAAAAGAAGATAAAAATTAGAAGAAGACGAAGAACTAAGAAGTCGACATAACTTATACAAGTATATAAACTATATGAAATCATCAGGGTTTGATAGTGGAAGCAGCCTGGACTCGAAGGTCCCGAGGGGAGTTGGCTACTCGGCCCAACAGGAAATCATGGAAGCAACGAACGGATATGTACATGCGGCCCTTTTTGCTGAGCATCTTCTTCTCCAAGCGGTTCATACATGCAAAGGTGATGCACCGTGGGACGAGCAAAGTGGTGGCGGTTGCCACCACAAACGCCCGTGACCTTCGCAACACGCTACCTTCCTTGACCGATGAGTCCGCTTGCCAGGTCATCGGGCGGCTGATTGCCGAGCGGTCAAAGGAGGCTGATGTGTTCGCCGTGGCGTATGAGCCAAGGAAAAACGAGAGGATTGAGGGCCGCCTAGCGCTCGTGCTAGACACTATCCAGGAAAACGGGATCATATTCGTCTGACCGGAGGATTACGGAGATTGCCATGTGGCGAAGGGTCGAGCTGTTTCTTTCTTTCTTGTCTTTTTTATTTTCTGGCTCGAGTTTTTTTCTTTGTAAGTTCAGCTTAAAGTGTGTTGAAATCTTGGGGGTGTTCGTGGAAAAGGAATGATTTTGTAAAAAATTACACTTACTGAAGTCCTTGTAGGAGATATTATTAATGGCATTGTAATCACACTTAAATACCCAATAAATTAGTATTATTTATTGGAAACTAAAACTCTATTAGAGACTAAAAACTCTCAAATGATTTTGTAAAAAGAAATTTTTCTTTAAAGAATTGCACGAACTAATTAGTTCATGTGTAGGGGTGTCAGGGTATTGTTAATGGCAAAATTGTAATCACAATTAAAAACCGAACAAAATAGGATTATTAATTAAACTTTTGAATACTATTATAGAAGAAAGAATTTTTTTTTTAAAAAAAAAAAAAAAAAAAAATTGAACGGAATAAAGTACTTGTGTAGGATGTTATTAATGGCAAACTTGTAATCACACTTAAATACCCAACAAATTAGGATTATTAATTTAAAAAAAATAATACAGAAACTAAAATTCCATACTAAATAAAAAAGGAGATATGTGAAAAATTGCACATACTAAAAAGTTCTTGTGCGGGAGATATTATTAATGACAAAATTGTAATCCTTCTTAAACACCTAGAAAATTGGAATATAGTTAATATTTCTTACATAAAAAATTATGTAAAATATAGATTATAAAAAATAATGTTATGATTTACACATTTATTTCAAAAAGTAAAGTTAATTGAGTCTGAGAAGTTAAATAAAAAAGTGAAAAATTAAATTGAGAACAACAAAAAATGTAAATCTCCTACCGAAAAAGAATAAATTTTAAGCATTACATCGATACAACTCTTAAAAGTTATGTCTTATAATGGAATTTCCATTTCGAACCGCCCAAGCGGTCTAATCCGTCAGACTCATACGCACCCACACACTACATTGTATTTGTGTGAGTGTGTATGACTCGACGGCTAAAACCTCAGTGGGCACCACCCACGTGTAGAATCGAACCTGTCAGAGAATATAAGTAAAAACAAACAAGGAAAATGAATTCGAGATTTAGGACAAACGACTCTTCACCAAGAAGGGAGTAAATTATTACAAATTTTTTGTTCTCTGCAACAAGTTCATATACTTGCCGATCCGCTGTAACAAATCATGTAATCATGTAATATTCCTCATTTTCACTCATGCACACACACACACACACACACACACACACACACAGAGTTCACATTTACAAACTCAAACGTTGTTCTAAAGAACAATAAAATAAAAATCAAATACGAATAAATACGGCTTCTGGCAACAATTTGTATGCTATATAATTTACTGTTAGGAGGCAAAAAAAGAAAGGTCCATCATCATTCATCCGAAGCCAACTTCAATCCTTCTTGTAAACCAGAGTTGGATACTCAGGACTCCACATATTGTTGAGTACGTAAGTTCTAATTTCATCCTGGATGCAAGTCACACAAAGTTTTATAGTTAAAAGTCGGGACGTAGAGTTGATCAAGCAAACCAAAACGGATTTCGGACCATTAAATAACGTGTCTCAACATTTGAAAGTGAGAATGAGTATCCTGTGTAGGGCTAATATTTTCCGTGTCAGAGAGCAGACGGCTCGGTTGCTATAAAATTTTAGTGCCACAAAAAAACGTCGATAACAGATAAGAAATCAAATAGTTGTATACTATATTTGCCAAGAAAATGCACGCTCCACTCCGAAGTAGAGTTGTTATACGAAATGAGCCGCTTGTGAGCTCGACTTGGCTTGGCTCATCAAGGCCCGAATCGGATCGAACGTGTTGAGCGCAAGCTTGCTTAGCTCGGCTTGTTGAGGATCGTTAGGCTCAAGAATAGAAATTTTAATGTAATTTTCTAAACTCTTAGCTTAGCTTGACTCGTTAATATTAATAAATGAGTCAAGCTCGAATCGTTTATCGGCTCTTTTAGTTAACAAGCTGAGCTCAACTCGGCTTGGTGAAGGCTCAAGCCCCGACTTGAGTAGCAAGAGCTCGAGCTCGGCTCGACTCGTTTACAACAGGAGTTAATTGTATGATACTTCAAATACCTGATCAAGTTTGTGCAATTCTCGAGCATCCATCTCGCGGTATCCTTCTGCGAGATCCTCTTCTATGGCTTCTGTAATGACTGCTGCAGCTACTTCCTTTGTTATGTCGCGTATTCTGATTTTTCAAAAGTTTCAACATTTGCTTTAGAAAAATATCAACTGTTAGAGGTGAGTATAAAGGCTGCATTTCAAGTAAGTTCGTGTGTTTACCTGGATATTGATGGGTAAATAATGCCTTGGAGTACTTCTTCCTCAGTCATATACGCGGCTAGGCTGTAGTTACAAAGAATTATGTGGCGATTTTAAAACCCATTGATAGAGTAGCTTAATTCCAAGTGGCTCCAGAATTTGATGCTATTGAAACAAATATTTTGCATCTATTTCCTAGAAACTTAAAAACATGCTATTATTTTGAAGAAATTCCCAGAAAATTCATGGCCTCGGATTAAATTAGAACTAAACAAAGGTTATACGGATACATTTGTGAATTACAGAACCATATGCCTGAAGTTTGTTTAAATGCAAGGTCCAGGTAACAAATTGTATTACAAGTCTACTTTACGTATATAATTTCTCAGGGTGGTGCAGTTTTTAGAATAGAATCCAATGGTGCTTGTAAATTTTGAAAGTGTTGTCGTTTTCTCATCTAATATTACACAGCTCACCGCTATCTTCAAATTTAACTCATGGTGTGTTTATGGTTCATACTTGTTCCATCGGTTCAGAAGCTGGTGTGTACAGCTTTCAGAATCCCGCACATTAATATCTATTTCTAAACATTAAATGTTCAAACATGTACCATTCAGCTGCTGCTTGTAGCATCCCATCCGAGACGATCTTAGATCCAGATAGAAGTGTCCCAAGCCCAATCCTGGATTTGGAGTCAAAATTAGTCAAATAAAAGTCCCAATGCTAATCAGATCATTTTGTTCATCAAGGATGAGAGTTTTCAGAATCTTACCCGGGAAAAAGAAACATGTTATTTGCCTGGTTGCAGTGACCAATATGACCGTTTCCTATGCATTTTTGGGAAAAAAAAGTTAGATTATAGTGAAAAAACAGTTGAACAATCTAGAATGGACCCATCATTCATCTATGATCAACAACATATCTCCTCTTATTCTCTTAATGTCATTACAAAATATTTGAAGTTCAGTGCCTCTCAATATCTTTGTCAAAAAGCTTGCTATTATAACAATTCTACCCTGTTAATGTAGTTTCTCAACTCAATACAATTAAAACATTTTTTTATTCTTTCTTTATTCTTGTTACATCATTACATAATGTATAATATAGATAAATCACTGAGAGAAAGGAGAAGGGTGTGAGGGAATTTTAGTAACGGCATTAGAAAGTAGAAACCACCTTATAGGTAAGTCTTAGAAGAGCTCTTCCTGTAAGTAAAATTCTTAATCTATAAGCCTATAATCACAGGAAACTACGCACATTCTTCAATCGATGCACTCATAACCTTAAGCAATGTACTGTGAAACAATGGCACCTTTTAGGATTGATCATTCTACAGATATTTAGATAAAAACATTAAGATGCACAAAGAGACCTGATTTATTTCATTAGCAGGATAACTCTACACCTGTCTACTCAGTTCTCCAGTATCACATCATTTGCACATGTCAAAAGAAATTAAGGAAATTGAAATGCAGGGAATATTGCGAAAGTTACAAGACATACCTAGATCGACATTGTTAAATGGACTTCCACTTCCGAAAATGATGTTGTCACCAACTATGGAAAAAGCTTCCTCCGGAGTGCACTCAGCTAACAAAGTCCAGATTCTCTCAATAAAACAGTTGACAAAGATGTTCAAGTAACATATTTAACGAATATATGTTTTACCATTTTTTGTGGGATTAGACATAGGGAAAATTGCTGGTCTTGTGGAAGTTGAACATTTTAGAGCTTCTAATACCTGCTAATTGCAAAGCAATCTGGTTAACATATTATGAATTGTGCTAACGACAACTAAGGAAACATAAAAAAAGGGAAAAGTTAATCCAGGAGAATATATTTGTATGTTGGGAGATAGAGAAATATGAAAGATGCAGATGAGATCTTACCTCTTTCGAAAACAGACCTCCTACAGCAGACAACCCAAGGAGCACATCAGGCTTGACTTGTCGAACCTGATTTGATATAATCCATGATTTCAAACATCAAGACACTTTAAACCGGATACGAAAACTATATCCAAACCAGACTGTCAACAAGCACCGCTTATATGAATTTTTTCTCGTTTCCAAATTAATTATACTCACATGACAGAGAACCAGAAAGTTCTATTCAAATTCACTTGCCAAAAGAAGTCATCTAAAATGGTAAGGAGGCATATTACAGACAAAATCACTAAAGCAAATGCCCTTACATGTACGTTAGTTTTCTTAAACTATTGCAAACAACTTCTTAGTTCCTGATGTTGGGTTGATAAGTTAGTCTCCATGCAGATTAACAAATGAACTTGGAGATGATGAAAGGAATCTGCGAGCATGGTTCTGATACTATAGCCTATCAATTCTTCCTTTTCTTTTCTTTTCTTTTTGAATATTTCTGAAATAATCGGTACAGAAAAAATGGACAAGTTGTTCAATGGTAAGAACGGCATAATTGTAACATAAGACATAAAACTTGGTGGGCGCTTATCTATGAGAGAATAACATTGGAATTCCATGTGGAAAGTTCAGACATGTAACTGTTTGAATCGCAGAAAATTGTTAAAAGAAGTTAAACTAAGCTTCCACCAAACAAAAAAATCCAAAAAGTGAAAGGAGGTTTTTCAATAAAGCAGAGCTCTTGTTATCATAGAAGTAGGTTTTTGATCAGGAAGAGAAGCTTTTGAACATTCCAAC